TAGGATGAGGTTTGTGTGAGTTTACCCCTCACCTTCCATACCCCTGCAGCCAGAAAAAGACAGGTGGTAACAGTTTCCGCCTCTGGTTTCTGGGCCCAGACCTCCAGGCCTGTACACAGAGCCTGGGGCCTGAACTCACACTTTTCCCCGGTTGGCTGCCTGTCCCAGCATGGGTTTCTGCTGCCTGCGTCTTTGTCTGTATCATTTTATTTCCTTGGCGGGAGCAGGCTGTGCGTCCAGCCTTTTGTAGGCTTGTCCTTTCCTAGGCACATAACCCCAAATAGTGCTGCATAGAAGGTTGCCCGAAGCTACCACGAAGACTGCAAATCCTAAACTCAGATTCTGCTGGATTCTTAGCTCGAATGGTATCCAACAGCCCAGCCCCGTGGTTTCTCCAAGTTGATGCAACCCAGCTTGTCTCACCTTTTGATATCAGGGTTGCAGGGTTGGGGTGGAGGTGAAGGGTGAGGAGGATTGGAGACCTCTGTGTTCCCTGACTAGAACTTGAGTTCCTAGAGACACGAACTTTGTCTTTTCATTTTTGAACTCCCAGTGAAGAATACAGTGCTGGGCAGACAGATGTGTCACCGCCTTGTCAGACGAGCACATGACGGAGACTTGGGTGCATTTTCTTTGTGCATGGGGTGAATGGCAGCATTGCTAGCTTGTTCGGCTTGGCTCTCACACAGGAGACTCACCTGCTATAGGCTTCAGCTTGTAGGCCCCGGAACCCTGTGGGCGCAGCTACTGGGAAATCTGTCTTTCACCACGTCTTTTTGGGTTCTGTAGCTGCTCAGGAAGATGAGGGTTTTTTTTATAGAGCCTCAGCCCCTGGAGATGCTGGGGGAGTTGTAGAAATCCAACTTCGAGAGCATTAAGAGAGACCCTGTAATGATTAGGCAGCCCTGGGATTGTAGCATGGGGAACCCATGGAAAGAGGAGACCCCCACTTCTTACCCTTCAGAGAAGGGGATCATCTTATTGTAGCAGAAGTTTCTTAAAATTTTTTTGGACATCTAAACTTGAAAGCTGAGGTTAAGAAAGCGAAGGGCTTAGTCCACAGAAAGAATTTTCCTCTGCATGTAGTTTTTCTCCTATCTTTAAAAAAAATATGAAGAAAAGAAACTAAGTTCGTACCAAGGTGCTAAATGTGCTCTAGAATGTAAAGCCACTTTGCATTGGTCAACAGGATCCAGTTAGGGAAATATTTCCATTTATTCAACTTGTGTACTTACGAGAGATTTTTTTTTTTTTTTTTTTTTTTTGAGACAGGGTCTCTTTCTGCTGCCCAGGCTGGAGTGCAGTGGCACAGTCATGGCTCACTGCAGCCTCAATTTTCCAGGCTCAAGTGATCCTCCCATCTCAGCCTCCCTAGTAGCAGGGACTACAGGTGTGCACCAGCACACCTGGCTGATTTTTGTATTTTTGGTAGAGATGGGATTTCACCACCTTTCCTAGGCTGGTCTCAAACTCCTGGGCCCAAGCAATCCAGCTGCCTTGGCCTCCCAAAGTGCTAGTGTTACAGGAAAGGGGTCCTGATCCAAATCCCAAAAGAGGGTTCTTGGATCTCGCACAAGAAAGAATTCAGGGCGAATCCGCGGTGCAAAGCAAAAGCAAGCTTATTAAGAGAGTTCAGTGGCGAAAGAACAGCTACTCCATAGACAGAGCAGGACGTTCCCGAAAGTTAGAGGAGGAATGCATCCACCCTAGGTACAATGCTTGTCTATATGGGGAGATGTGCTCTGCTGTAAGGGTTTGTCATAAAGGATTCATTTTCTTAATTACTATATTTTGCAAGACTCGATATTATTATCTTTAAAGCAAAACTAGGAATGCCTTTGTTCTCCAGATATCAGGACATCTGGACACTCCCAAGTCTGGGTCTGTTTTAGTAAACATTATTAGTTTGTTCCCTTAATTGTAAACATCTAGAGGCTAGGAATGCCTAACTTTCTGGGAATGCAGCCCAGCAAGTCTCAGCCTTATTTTCCTAGCCCTCACTCAAAATGGAGTTGCTCTGGTTGGAACACCTCTGACACTCAGATTTTAGGCGTGAGCCACTGTGTCCGGCCTTAAGTGAGAAAATCTTGTTGAGCCAGTTCTTTAAGACTCCCTCTTGACTCTTGAGTCTTAACAAGAAATAAACCAATAAGAGGTTTTCCCTCACCTCTTAGGGATCTTTTCCAGGAGGAGAGTGTTCAAGAAGAGGAGCCAAAGCTAGGAGAGGCCCACAGAGTGTGGCACTGAATTCAGAGGGGTGGTGCTCTCCTGGAGCCCGTAGCTAATCCATTTACACCATCTCCTCTGAGAACTTCATCCAGCCCAGGAGGGTGTGCTGTGGCCTTGCTGGGTCTTTTACCCTGGGGCCAAGGATGGCTTGGGGTATAAGCTGGCGATCAGTGCTATTTCCACCCCCTTCTTCAAGATATAGGCTGCTTTTAAAAAAATTTAATTGTCAGGGTTAGAGGTTTTGATGGTGTGGAACCAGGAGGTGGGCGTGGGAGAATGGAAACTGGATGTAAATGATTGAAGCTGCCCCACAGAAGTCATTCTGCAGTACATGTTCAGTGACTCCATTTCCAGGTGGGGAAGTTGAAGCCACAAGATGGGCTGTGATTTGCCTAAAGTCTCCTAGCAAATAGTGGCAGAATTGGGACCCGAGCTTTTCCCTTGAAGCCCTGGGTAGAACATTAAAGTAATGGCAGTGTAATTGATTCATGTCTGCTTAGGTCGTGAATCAATTATTCTGTACCCACCTGCCCTCCTGAGGAGATGGCTCCTGAGAGGCAGGGACCTTCTCTTAATCCTCTCTGTGTCCCTGCACCTCCCAGTGCAGTGGCCAGTACATGCTGGGGCGCCCTGCGGGGTGTGGGGAGTTGGATTGGGTGGTTAAACCTGAGTTGCGAGACTCTTCGCTACAAAGAGCACTGGGGGCAGGGCAGGGGTTTGGGGGAGGGCAGGCTGGCCCCACCGCATCCTCTGTACTCAGCTGTGTCAACTCTCACCTTGTCAGAAGCCTTTCCAGACCAATTCAGCCTCTGAATTTTGGAGCAATATCTGTTTGTGCCCCACATTTAGCCCCCTCTATAGACTTATTTACGTGGGAAGAGGACAGTATGCATTGTGATTCTGAGTGTGGGCTGTGGATCTATCAGCCTGAGTTTCAGTCTCAGCTCTATCCTTTCTGAGCTGTGTGATCTCAGGCAGCCCCTCCGAGCCTCAATTTCCTTATCTGTGAAATATTCCTTCTCCACGGGCTGGTCATGAGGATGAATGGGGACAAGGCACGCAGCCATGTGGCACCAGGCACTCAGCACGTTCCCGCCCTTATCGTTGTGAAGTTTCCATCATTAAACGTGTTGTTCTGCACCTACTCTGAGGATGGTTACCTCACCCATGAACGGGAGGAAATGATATGTAACCTTGGCAGATTGTTATGGCAACCAAATGAGATAATACACATGAGAATGCTTTGTAAACTCCTAAGGCTTGGGTGTGAAGTGTGATTGACCCCAAAAATCACACAATTGGTAAGAGGTGGCGTCCTCCTGCAACGACCACACCCTCCCCCAAAACACATGCACACACATACACACTCACATATGCACACACATGTACACATATATACATACATATACAGACTCGCACAGGCACACACACACACCACCACCAGCATCAGCACCATGAAACATCTCTGTGGTCTGACCCCGCCCACTGCCCCCCCTCCACCCCTGGCATCCCAGGGAAGTTGTTCTCTCATGTTTCCAACAGCCTCTAATGAGCCCTCCCAGACATCCAGACAAGTAGTGGTGGAATTAAAAAAGACAAATGAGACACAGACCTCACTCTCAGGAAGCCTAGCAGGGGAGAAGGGTGAGCAAAGTTTACCCTAAACAAGGCCAAATGACACAAAAACCATAACCACCGAAGGCTGGGTGGAGGGGAAGTTTGGGAACGGGCGGTTTCGTGGCAGGGCTGGCATTGGAGCTGGTCTTTGAAAGGTGGGTGGTGTCTTAGTCTCCTAGGGCTGCTGTAAAAAATACCACTGACTCAACGACTTAAACAACAGACATTTATTTTCTCATAGTTCTAGAGGCCAGAAGTCCAAGATCATGAGGTTGGCAGCGTTGTTTCTTCTGAGGCCACTCTCTGTGGCTTGCAGATGGCCACCTTCTTGCTGTGTCCTCACGTGGTTGTCTGGGTCCTGATCTCCTCTTCCTGTTTTTTTCCAAGACAGAGCCTTGCTCCATCGCCCAGGCCGGAGTGCAATGGCGAGATCTTGGCTCACTGCAACCTTTGCCTCCTGGGTTCAAGCAATTCTCCTGCCTCAGCCTCCAGAGTAGCTGGGATTACAGGCCTGCACCACCACGCCCGGCTAATTTTTTGTATTTTTAGTAGAGATGGAGTTTTACCCTGTTGGCCAGGCTGGTCTCGAACCCCTGACCTCACGTGATCTGCCTGCCTCAGCCTCCCAAAGTGCTGGGATTACAGGCATGAGCCACCACACCTGGCCCCAATCTCCTCTTCCTATAAGGATGCCAGTCATATTGGATGAGAACCCACCATTGACTTCATTGAGGTAAAATGAGGTCATATCCATGGGCCCCAATCCAATATGGCTGGTGTTCTTTATCTCCTGATATAGCCTTATCTCCAAATATAGTCACAGTATGAAGTACTAGGGGTTAGGAGTTCAATATATGAATTTGAGTGGGGAGACACAATGAAGCCTGTAACAGATGCGATGTTTTCTTTTCACATTTGTTCCATTACAAAACTACGCACTGTGGCCAGGTGCAGGAGGATTGCTTGAGCCCAGGAATTTGAGACCAGCTTGGGCAACATAGGGCGACCTAGTCTGTACAAAAATTAATACATAAATTAACCAGGCATAGTAGTGCATGCCTGTGGTCCCAGTTAATTGGGAGACTGATGTGGGAGGATTGCGTGAGCAACCCTGAAGGTTGAGGCTACAGTGAGCTGTAATTGTGCCACTGCACTCCAGACTGGACAATAGAGTGAGGCCCTGTCTGTCTCAAAAAATAAAAAATAAAAAAACCCAAAAGTACTCACTGTAAAATGTTGTGAAATGTTGAAAAGCACAAGAGGGAAAATAAGAACCCTTTGGAGATGACCATATCTGTCCATGAAAAAAACATCTTAAAATGGGTTTATACTTATAACACCTATTGTTTTATAAACAGCTATTTTTATATAACAAATATATCATGAACTATTAAATAATCAACCACAACATCACTTTTAATGCCTGCCTCGTGGTCCACGATAAGGGTGTGTTGAATGTGTTTAACCAGTGGAGAGTGGGGTTTTGATTAGCCAAGAGTGGGGTGGAGAAGTAGCAGCCTCATGGGAGGGAACGATATGAGCTCCAAGGGCACGGTAGTTGGTTACACTTCAGCGAGCTGCAGCCAATCAGAACAGTTCTCAGAATAAGATCGATTACACATATAAGAAGACGTAATTTTTTGTGCGTGTCGGGGTTGGTTAGGGAAATAGACTGTGGACGTCAGAGCGCTGCTGCTTCTAAGAAGTCCTGAAGGGTCCCAAGAATGAGCCAGCTCCATGATTTATGTCTGACTAATCAGTCTGAACTAGACCCTACGGGGGCAACTGAAGTCAAAATCTGATTCTGCAGGGTGAGGCTGAACTCGATGAACATAGTTTTATAGTTTTAATTGAGATGCTCGTTTTTAATAAGTGACAGTTAGTGATGAGTGATTATTGCTTTTCCCATTACTCACTTCCCTCACTCCCCTCTTTCCTTCCCCACCCTTCATCCCAGATGAGGAGAAATCATTGGTAAAACAAAACAACGGGAAAGGGACTTAGTGATAAAGACTCACCTTGTTTCACACTGAAGACTGAAGGATCTAAAGGAGAAGTTCAGGTTGGACCAGGAGGGCTTCTAGGGGAGAGAAGAGGCAGAGAGAGCAGGGAGAGAGCACAAGTCCCAGGCTGGAGTGCAGTGGCCCGATCTCAGCTTACTGCAGCCTTGACCTCCTGGGCTCAAGCTATCCTCCCACCTCAGCCTCCCAAGTAGCTGGGAATACAGGCTCTCGCCACCATGCCTAGCTAATCTTTCTTTCTTTCTTTTTTTTTTTTTTTAAGAGATGGGGTCTCACTATTTTGCCCAGGCTGATGTCAAACTCCTGGGCTCAAGTGATCTCCAGACTTCGCCTCCTTAAATGCTGAGATTACAGGCATGAGCCACTGTGCCTGGCCCACTGTGAATTTTGAATGATCCAATAGGTGATTCAATAGGGAAAAAATGTTTATCCCTATTAATTTCAATAACTGAGCCTTTCAAGTTATGTTTATAAAGCCAGCAGAGACTTAGATTTCATTTGCTCTGTTGTGCAAGTGGAAGAAAAGGCATGTGGCAGTGACTCCTGATTTGATAGAGAAAGCCCACAGAGCAGTTTAGAAATACAGAGATGTCAGCTGCAATGCTACTTCCAAGACAACCATTCCCAAGTGAGAAAACCAGTCAGAATTACAGCTCTCTTTGGGGGTTTCTTATTAGAGGACAAGGCAACTATTTCTAAAGTCTTAGGAGTCTGGGCTGGGTGTGGTGGCTCACACCTGTAATTCCAGCACTTTGGGAGGCTGAGGCAGGAGGGTCACTTGAGGCCAGGAGTTTGAGACCAGCCTGAGCAACATGGTGAGACCCCCATGTCTACAAAAAAATTAAAAAGAAAATAGCCAGGCATGGTGGTGCTTGCCTGTAATACTAAGTACTCAGGAGGCTGAGGCAGGAGGATCACTTGAGCCCAAGAGTTGGAGGCTGCAGTAAGCTATGATTGCCAGTGCACTCCAGCCTGGGCAACAGAGTGAGATCCTAACTCTAACTAACTAACTAACTAACTAACTAGTTAACTAACTAGGAGAAATGAAAAATAGAGTCTTAGGAGCCTTACCGGATCCCTTTTGTTGAACGAATGAGTCCAGGAGTCTGGGGACGGATTTATTCTACCCAAGATCGACTGGGAACAGTGATGACTATTCACACGAGTCCGCTTGGTGCCCTGAAGAGCAAGATTTCATATCTGATTCTTTGAACTGGCTTTTTAATGTAGAGTGGCAGCTGTCTCTCCCCAGCTGCAGGGGAGGGAGCCATCTTGTGCATCTCCTTCCGAGGCACTTGTGTTAATGACGATGGCTTGCATTTGGGAGGCAATTTCATCAGTTGGCATTATAAGGAAAATAACAGGCCTGCCAAGCTCAATTTACTGGCAGAAAAAGAAAAGGAGTGAAGAGGATATTACTTATTAACTATGAAACGCGGACTGCACAGCACAACACTATCTTTTGAATTCCCCATGATTGCAGAATCATAAGGCTTTCTTCTGGTGTGGGAGCATACTGACACCCCTCCTTTGTGCTGTGGTTATGAAAAGGATTATGTAAAGATGATTGCTACTTTCAGGAGCCACCAGCCTCTCAAGTTTAGCGAGGATGCAGGAAAAGGTAATTTAGGAAGGATGCGATTCACTTCAAACCTTTAACAAATCCACGTCATGAAAACCTAATTCAGAGAAGGTCATTTGCTAGAAGGTTTATTATTAAATAAAAAGAAGCAAGTTTTTTTTTTTTTTTTTTAAAAAAGATCATTTGCTATAATATCGTTTTGCAACCATTCACCACATGATTACTTAGACAGTTCTTCTCATGCGTTTTGTATCTTTTTTTTTTTTTTTTCAAATTAATGAGTCTTTATTGAGAATGTGCTGGGTGCCTTTCTTTGTGGGAAAACCATATTGGCCAAGTCTCTAAAGCTGACGCACACCCCCTCATTCTGTGCAAGTGAGTTTCTCAGAGCCTTTCAGCACCCGCCTCCAGTGCCTAGTGAGGTAGTCACGCCACCCAGGAAAGTGGGCAATGCTCCTAAGAACAGTGCCCACATTCCAGCAAACTGTTTTCCTGGAGCCTGGCAACCTCCTCTCTAAACGCTTGCAAAAAAACAGGTGTGAGCACTAACAGACTTCTTGCTGAAACCAGGTAGCCAGAGAAGCTAGTGACGCACCTGAGGAGGAAACCGGGGATCAGGACACTCCAAAGGCCCAGTGCTGGCAAGGTGCCCCGGGCGAGGGTGACTGTCAGGACATTTCTGCATCATTCAGTTATGAAAGCTGATTCTATTTAATTCACTTTAATTTAAACAGGAGGGCCAGTTCCACCCAAAGGCAGAAGATGCTGTCAGCAGATGCAGAGTGAGATCTGAGGACCAGGAAGCAAAAGTAGCACCTCTTCTGAATCTGCCACTGATGACTGCAATGACCCCATTACCTGCTTCCAGTTACCCTTCATGACTTACTCATCCCTTACCCCTCGGGAAGACACTGTCCAGGGCAGAGTCTGCCAGTCCAAGGCCCTCGGCTCTGGTGACCACATGCTCTGCACTAAAAATCAGCAACACACGATCTGGCAAGTGTGAAGGTCCAAGGTGCTAGGGGGCCAGCATATTTGAAATTGAGATGCCCAAAGGGCAATGAGACCAGGAATTCAGGTTCCTGTTCCCATCGTCCTTTGGGAAAGGCAGTAGTGTGGCTTGGTTGAACTGAGAACAGTCAGGGGACTTGCTGGGAAGGGGAAATCAAGGTGCAGGTTCTCTCAGAAGGAGGCAGGATCACAAGCGGGTCCTGGGGTGGAGAGGGGGAAGGTGTGAGCGGAAACAGCAAGTGTGTGTGACACAGCAGGCACAGTCGGCCTCATTCTCCACTGGATGGAAACTTCCTAAGGCGGGGGGCTTTTTGTTTTGTACCTTGTTGTGTCCCCAGCACCTAGAACAGAGCCTGATGCATTATAGAGCTCAGTAAATATTTATTGGATGAGTTGTAATATTTATTGTAAATATTAGTAAATATCAGTAAATATTTATTGAGTTGAGTTGGTCTTTCCAGTGAAGTGGTTGCTTCTCTGTGAAGCTCTGTGGGAAACATAAATGGTGGGAGATAGGGTACCTGTCCTTAGGGCTGGCCATATGTGAACCCTATAACCATTTGGTATCCATTCATTCATTCATTTATGGAATATTTGCCCAGCTTCTATTCTGTAATATATTGTATTAGTCACTGGGGTCACAAAGATGAAAGCCAACACATATTACTTCAGGACAGGTGCAGTGGCTCACACCTGTAGTCCCAGCACTTTGGGAGGCTGAGGCAGGAGGATCCCTTGAGGTCAGGAGTTCAAGACCAGCCTGGGTGACATAGTGAGACCCTGTCTCTATAAAAAATTAAAAAATAAATCCAGACAGAGCAGAGTACCTGGAGTCTTAGCTACTTGGGAGGCTGAGGTGGGAGGATCGCTTGAGCTCAAGAGTTGGAGGCTGTAGTGAGCTATGATTGTGCCTCTGCACTCCAGCCTGGGCAACAGAGTGAGACCCTATTGTTAAAAAATTAATTAATTAATTAAAAATATTTCTTTAATACCCATCATGAGCCAGGCTCTGGGGGATACCATGGTGACCAGGCTGGAAACACCTTCTTTGGTAGAAGACACAGACTTCCAAGCCACAGATGGGGGAGCATCAGTCCCTATCTGGAAGTGGAGATGCTGGGAAAGGCTTTGCAGGGGAAGGCACATTTGGGCTGCATCCTGACCGCAGGGCAGGCGTTCGTCAGGCTGGGGAGGTGTGGGGCAGCACCGGAGCAAAGTGTCAGCGTGTGTCATGGCTTGGTTTCCCACAGAGGCCTGCTGGGGCCACCTTTTAGCTACACTCGTCACACCTCGTTTTCCTACTTCCCAGACCCTCTGAACGTGTCCTTCTCTCTTACTAGTTGCTCCCAGTTTTGCTCACCCCAGGGCCTTGCACCATGTGTAACACAAAGATTCATTATGATCAATACCAGTTAGTCTAGGAACTGTTCCCAGAGCTCAGCGACATCCCTGATGTGGGTGTGGCTGGGGTCTGCTACGGAACTTTGACTCCCATTTCCTCTCATGAGCTCCTTGGCCTGGCTCCCCTGGGAACTTGTTGTGAGAGGAGGATCACAACAAGGCTGGGCAGGATGGGGGCATCCCTGGGTTCTCTGTGCCAATAAAATACAACACGGCCCCTGCTGCAGGTGAGTGGATGGTGGGCCCATGTGGTTTAGCATAACCCAGAGCCAATGTCCTCCACAGAGCTGCCGATATGGTAGCGCTCACCTTTCACCTGGAGGCGGCCATGCTCCGGGGCACACTTTGACGCACTTTAACAGGGCAGTGTGTTGGTGCATCGGACTAGAGGGCCTTTGAGGTCTCTTCCAACTGCACACTTCATTCTGATCCAGTGATTCTTTCTGGCCTTGAGCTGGGAACATCAGAACCCAGTCCTGTGGTGGCTGCCAGAAGATACTGTTAAAATGCAACTAGAAGAATGTTGTTTTGGTTCTTTCACACATCAGCTGCTAATCTCTGTAGGATTTTCCCCTTCCCAGGGTTAAGAGAGAGAAGAGGAAGTGAAAACAGGAGGGGAGAATTTTCTTAAAGCACCTCTTGCCTTGCAGACAACAACCAAAAACCCCCTAGGGTTTGAACAGCGCTGTGTACTTTTTTTCTGTAGCTTGTTCCCATCCACAGCCTGCCTCATTTGGTTCTCAGAGCTCCCCCAGGTGGGAGCAGAATTCTGAGCTGCCCCAGTTCCACTCTTATTTGCAGACAGGGGGCGTTCCTGGGGCTGGAGGGAAGGGCTGAGGACTGGCTCTGCTGGCAGAAGCAGGCATTTTGCAGAGTCATTCTGGTGAGGCACTGGGGGTTGCTGAGTTTCTTCAGGAAAACTGGGCAGAGGCTCCTCTACACCTGGTGGAGAAAGGTCTGTGTGAACAGGGATCAAGCTGACTGTCCTCTGGGTGGAGCCCTTCGGCCATGGAAGGCGGAGGAGCTGGCCTTCCCAGCACTGATTCAGCATCCGCTGATCTCTGCCAACCACAGGACTCTCCTGGCTGGCGGAGATCTCCCACTCCAAGGCCCATACCCTCGCAGTTGAGAGCTCCCAACTGCAGTGTCCACTGCCAAGACAGGGGTGTCTTCCCCAGAGTCCAGTAGGCACGTTTCCAGCTTTTCTTGTTGAACAGATTTCGTTGACAACTCTAAATATGCAACTGGTCGGTGGGAAGCAGGGAGAATCTGGAGGCAAATGAGATGGAGCCCTTGTTCTCCAAGAGGTGGCAGCTCTCCTGATGCAGACAGACATGGACACAAACACGGTGTGAGCATAGAATGGAAGGGTGGTGGGGAGGGGAGGAGAGGGAGCACTAGACGGGACCAAGGTAGCCTCACCGTTGCACGTTGGAGCCCTGATGCCCAGCGTCAGGGCAGAGTCTCCCAGAGCAGAGTTTCCCGGTCCAGGGCCCCCTGCTCTGGTGACCTCATGCTCTGCACTAAAAATCAGCAACACACAACTGGGCAAGTGTGAAGGTCCAAGGCGCCAGAGGACCAGTGTATTTGAAATAGAGATGGTCCCGGGAATTCAGGTCCCTGTTCCCATTGCCCTTTGGGAAAGGTGGTGGTGTGGCTTAGTTGAACTGAGAACAGAAAGGGGACTTCCTGGAAAGGGGAGATTAGGTGGTCCTCTCCTGCCTCCTGGGAGTTTTGGCTGGGGATTGGGAAACTGGGACTGGAGGAGAAGCCGGGGATCAGGGATGGCAGGAGAGAAGGGGCAGTCTTCACTTTGTTTGGCAGAGATCAAGCACAGGGCCATTTGGCATGTCAGCAGGGCTGAAAATGAGCCATTGTAGGACCTGGGTATACAGGGCTCCTCTCCCCATCATGCACTCCAAGGCCCATTCTTATGCCTCTCAGACAAGTGTGGTGAGTGGATCCTAGATTCAGTCTGGGCTGCGGATCAGAGCCCTGAGTGTCTCGCAGCCTGCACCGGCCAGCCCCTCCTGTCCTTCTGGCTGATCTCTGCTCCTTCCCATCTCTGCCCTGGACTTTCCCCACAGAGCCTTCGCTCCCTCATACAATCCCTTTCTCTCCACTTCCACTGCCCTCACCCGGCTGCTCAGAAGCTGTGTTTCCATGAGGCCTTGCCTTAGGAGTGCCTGTCTTCCCTCTCTGAGCTGCCCTGGTTCGGGGGCCATGCATATGACACCTGCCAGAGGGTTTTGGTTCATTTCTTTCATCTGTCTCCAAGGTTCTAACTCCTTGGGGCTGAACCCAGGTCTCCTTCACCTCTGAGTTTCCCTCATCACTTGGCTCTTCATTAAGCCATCAGTAAGTACTGCATGAACACAAGGAAAAGCTTTATCACTGGATCTCAGAGGATGGCCTCGGTCTCCCATCTTCTTTTCTGGAGAAGAGGCTGCTTTCCAGGAATAGGCCGGGGAGAGAGCTGGAAGG